TATATATATATATACATGCATACACACACATATATATACATATGTATTACACATGTTTTGAATTATATCGTAATTACAGTAATTACGATATATAAACAGTAATTAAATTACTGTTAGGAAATATATTTTGATTTATGTAGAATTCCTGTCGGCGTTTTTAGACCTCACATTTTCGTGAGGCACCGATGAAAAATTGAAGAGTAAAAAACGGAGCAGTGTGAAGAAACGAGCACTACATTCTTTATTCCCTTTTTATATTGAAATTTACTGTATACGATTACAAACGACATTGAAGTAGTTAAACGTTTGGTTTTTTTCTCAGTGTGGGATAAACATTCACACCATCGGGGAAATTTACAATAAATAATGTTTTTGTGGATATTTAGTTAATTGTTTTTATGGGAGGCAACGTATTTAATATTTCTTACCTTGGCAATCAAGGTTTTAGCGCAATCATGCTATTTGTTCTGCAGCTTTGTGCAGAGATGTATATACATGAACATCTGGCAACTCTGGCTGCCGCATAGTGTTGTCGTCATTTACAGCAACTCGTGAGATGAGCATAAAAAATACAAAAAAAGACGCACATCACAGCCAAAAACAAATTTTTAAAAAACGGACGACCAACATATTTACGTTGTCACAGTAATGGACACTCACGTTATAGAGCAACTACGCGTTTTAGATTTCAAGGAACAAAACGCCAGATAGCCTACACGTTGTGAGTAACGACATTCTCGAATATAAATCGGTCAACAGTTACACTTGCCTTTAATCTGATAGAGTTATGTTTGCTAATTATTCCTCTTTTGTGAATCAGATATAAAGTGAATTGCTCAAAGGAAAAACTAAAATGACCGTTACACTGATTTCAGCGAACATCGTCGGCCACCGTACTCTGAAATTCGCTCCGACCTAAACCTTGGGGCGCCATCTTTGTAGTTTTTACGTTTTCCGTGGCCACATCACGGAGATACGGAAGATGATGAGGGCCAATGCAGAAAAAAAACAAGGTTGGCAAGATTCTCACTTTTATCTCAGAATACCGACTTCAATATTGAGAAAGGTGCTCTATATGGTAGTTTAAGTCCAGTTTCGCACTTTAGCTGTACAAGCGCAGTGCTCCTAAAAGGATATGCAAGCTTCTTAAAATTCCGAGTTGATGTTCGCCGAGGTTGACTTTGCATGTCTTCACCGAGGCAGAAAATGGAAATTGTCTTCGACTGGTCAAAACCCAAAATAAGAGTTTGGACCCCCTACGTTGTTTGTAAATCTGATTTGCACTGAAATGGTTCGATTCCTGGCCCCGGCTTTCGTGTGTTGAGTTTGCATGTCCTCTCCATGCATGCGTGGGTTTTCTCCGGGTATTCCGATTTCCTTCCACATTCCAAAAAACATTCGTGGTAGCATGATTGAACGCTTTAAATTGTCCCAAGGTGTGATTGTGACTGTGCATGGTTGTTTGTCTATGTGTGCCCTGTGATTGGCTGGCTACCAGTTCAACTAGGCCGCTTACTGCTCGAAGATGGCTGGAGTAGGCTCCAACACGCCCACGATCCTCATGAGGATAAGTAGCTCGGATCATGAATGCAAATAACTGATTATTTAGACCTTTTCTGAGAGTATTTTTTTGTATTTCTTTTCCTCAAAACTTCTGTTCAAATAAATAGTTGCAATGTTGAGAATCTAGGAGCAGACTCTTGAGTACTTCTGGAATTTGTTCTATTTTTATTTTTTTTAAGGAAAATAAATGTATCCAACAATATTATGGTCCAAAATTACACAGATGCAGCACTTCAAAAAGAAATGTAGGTTCCAATTTATCTTAGTTTTTTGGAAATCAAGGAATAAAATGAATCGTTGATCTTCAATTTCATAATTACAGTCTAAGAGGCCTTTTATAAATCTGATGCTATGTATTGATCTTTTGCTTACAAAGCCTGTTTGTGTTTCACTAGTAATAGTATCTACTTTCTTTTTAACTACATCCGAGTGGTGTCGAGCCAAAAAACTTTCAAAGCAGGGCGGGAACGAATGAAGCCCCCTCGCTGCCCATCTTTAAAACCCGCCTTAAAACTCACTAGTATTCTTTGGCATTTGACTCAGCATGACTCAGACTTGAACTTAGTTTTACTGGTTGGTGCTTTCTACCATCTTTGTTACTGATTTATTGTGTTATTGTTGTATACAAGATAGTTGCTCCATGTACAGCACTTTGTATACAGGATGGCTGTTTTAAAGTGCTCTATAAATACAGTTGAATTGAGTTGAGAATGTGCCCGGTAACGCTGCTCTGGGGTTTATAAATAGGGTTAGGCTAATAATGCTGATCACGCCCTATTGTCAGTGATAAAACAATTTGAAAACCTCCTGAAAAAAGACAGAAGGGGGTGAAGTGAGGGAGGAACTACACACAGTACATGACTCATGACAAAGTAACCAATTCCAGACAGCCTGCTCATCACCTCAGAATAATTCACGGCCAACGCACTGTAATCATGGTGAAATGGCCGTTTGACGGCAGGCAAAGAATTCCTCATTCTGGCGATTGACCAAACTGAGCCGTTCAGGGCAAACAACGCTAAATGGAGAGTTGCCAGTCAAGGTAAAATAATCACAGCACCCCTCCAAATTATAACCGTTATGGTAAACCTGCTGTATTGTTGTTAATATGTAAAACTGAGTAGCGTTATCTTTGTCAAGGCAGAATGTTGGCGTCGGCTGTTGTGGATGACATTGTGGAATGGGATAATACGTGTTGATAGGGCTTGGCGCTTATGGAAAAATAATAATTCTGATCATGTTGGTTGATGTAGAGATCACCAGCATGACATGCGCGTCGTCAACACTTATTGATATAACATACACTTACTGCATTTCGTGATCCTGACCATAGAACAAGGTATACTGCCATCCATGCATTTTCAACACCACTCATCCTGAACAGGGTCACGGGGAGTTGCTGACGCCGATCCCAGGTGAAAAAAGTCTTTGAGAGCTAGTGCGCACCCTCTGTGTAACTGGCTGTGTTCAGAATTTAAAAAATCACACCCAAACTCATGCTAAGTAAGAGCCAGCACACACCTGCCAACTCTTAAAGTGCCTCTGATAGACCCTCAGTAAGATTCAACTCTTCTGGGTCGGCTTTTCCTGACATTTTTTGAAGTCACTCCGGAGAGTACAACCCATGGTTGTCATCGAGGTTCCACAGCATCAAAGGGATCTCATTGTTCAAAGGTCTCTTGTCCTCGTTAGGGTCATGGGTGACTTGGAGCCTATCCCAGCTGACTTCGGGCGAAGGGCGGTGCTACAGACAGACAACCATTCATGCTCATAATCACGCGCAAACCACTTGTGCACCGTGCTTCCCTGTATCTAATAATCATTTAGACAGTACTGTTTATAAAAAAAAAGTACACTGGTCCCCAGCATAGCTGCAGTTCAGCATTCACAAATTCAACTAGTTGTAGATTATTTCGAGGGCAATTTATTGCCCATTATTCAAGGAAATCCCTGCTTATTCATTTTTTCAAACACAATTTTGCTACTTTTTTTTTTACAGTTATTTTGAAGAAAAAAATGTTTTAATGGCAATTATAAGGAGCGTCAATTAGAAGGTGATTCAAAAGCTGAGCTCCACTGTAGTTGATCATGTATTATACCCTTAAGTCACCACTAGATGGAGGTCCTGCTGTTGAAGTGGCCAACGCCTGTTCTTAAACAGTTCCGTCCCACCCAGTCTCTTACGGGCAGTCCTGAGCCAGACGGGGTTCAGATGTTTAGGGGTACCGTGAACTGGTCTGGTTTTGCAGTTTTTACCCAACTGCTACTCCAGGCCTAGAGAATGTTAAAATTAAAGTCGTAGAGGCCTGTAACACAGTGAGAGAAGGAGCGACGGGATTTCAATCAATGCGGGTTCAAAGGTTGTGCCTTCGTGACCACTGACCAGTTGATGTAGGGCGAGGGGGATGTTTTCATTCAGCACTCAGTTTGATGTCAGGGCCCAGAAGAAGAGGCGCACTAGTTGCACAGCTGACTCCATTATTGAGGTGAAAAAGTACCTGTCAGACCCGAATATTTACCGGCATGATGATCTTCTGCAATATTGGGACGAGCAACAACACTTTTAGCCCCCCCCCCCCAAAAAAAAAGAAATACAGGCTGAGCCCCAAAATAGTCGAGAACAGTTTGTGTGAGTGTGTGAGTACTCC